AGGGATCTTCTGGTCAGTGAAGCAAGGATTTTGCTGCTATTTCTAACCATGACTTTTCCCATCAACAAATCTCTTTGAACACTGTTTCTTGTTATCTGAAAAGGCCAGAAGAGTTACGTAGAGCCTTGCTAACACTTGCCTCATTGTAGTCCACTCAGCAGAAATGATCTTGTCCAAAGCAATAAGGAAAATTCTATCACATGAGGCAAAGGCTCTGTGCAGAGCATCCCATTGCCAGCCAATGGGTGTGTGGTGGTGCTGGGACCCAGAGCTTTATCAATCAGGAAAAAAAAAAAAAAAGAGAATCACTTCAAGCATCTGAAACAGAGGGAATCTGACACAGTGAATTGATTACCCAGATAAGGGGAAAGCTAAGAAGCTGAATGGGAGTGGTAAGGCAATTGAGAGATCAGCAATAGTGGGATGTCACCACTACCCCTAGAGTAGGGGAGAGAGCCAGAGTTGACTGGCAGAAGCTGGGCCTAGGGGGCCTGTCCCAGCAAAGCTGAAGTCAAGAAGGAAGGGATGCAGCCCTGCTGGGGACATCATCCTGGAGGGGACACCAACTGAGTCCGAGGCGCTTGAAGAAATACCCTGGCTTCATGCTTCTGCCTTTTAAGCTCCCATGGGTGCCTCTTGTCGGTGGAACCAGGCTGGAAACCAGAAATATGAGAGGCTGTGATGCACAGCATCCAGAGGCCAGCCCCACAACTCCTACAGGGCAAAGTAGGGAAGAGTGAAGAATGAGCCCAAGAGCAGACAAGCCAGGGGTCAGGACAGAATCACATTGTCAAATCATAATTCAAAATAGCACTGAAGTCAGGAATAAAAATCTGCTGAAAGAGCTGGTCAAGAGAGTAAAGGGAGCTGAATGGTTTCATTTTTAAACACCCATATTCAGGGTGTAGCTCAGCGGTAGAATCCCTGCCTATCAAAAACAAAGTCCTGGGTCCAGTTCCCAATTATGAAAGGGGAGAGATTTAAGTACCTGTATCAGTTATACACATCAGTGTTCTTAGTTGCAAACATGACTACTTACAATTTTAAACAACAACAAAAAAAGATTTATTAAAGGATACCAGTAGCTCAGACATGAAAGTTACTGCACCAGTAGCAGAATCCAAATGACCCAATGGTAGGATGCAGAGGCTGTCACTGCAGAGGTAGTGCCAGGACCCTGGATTTGTATGGCAGACACTATTCAGGATACTGCAACCAGCCTTCTCTGAGGCTGCCTTGGAGAGCTTATGTCTCTTGCCATGTGTCACCAGTGTCCTGTAAGATTTGACACTTTGCCTGCCTCCTCCTGATTTTCACCAAGTTGGGGCTTTTGTAGTGCATCTGATTGAGAAGCCTGTGATATCTGCCTGCACCCTGCCTGCAAAAGAGCCTGGAAAAGAGAGTTCTGGCTTCTGTGCTAGGAAAGAGGGTACTTATTGTGGGAAGAGCAACTTTATTGATGGAAACTGTTCATCAAATGCCAGGTGGCCACACATACGACAAATGTTCAACTTTTGTTTACTGTCAAACATTCCCAGGTATTGCTGCAGTTGTAACCTTGGATACAAATAAGGGAAGTGATGGTACCACTGAGGAAATGGTCCAATGTCAATGCCACTTGCCACATGAGGGCTGGTTCCATTCATGCTCTTGACTGATGGGGCAAATCCACATCTCTTGGTCATGTGATAGCTTTGTCTTCTGATGGCATCATGCCAGACACCCTAAGCTACCATCAAATCTTAGAGTTAGAAAGGGACTCAGAGAACATCCAGCCTCCTTCCCACCCAAGTGCTCCTGAATCTCTACTTGTTAGAAAGATTCTTTATAACTGCCATTGATGTGTATTTCTTCAATGAGGCTGTCTTTGAAAAAATTCAAAAGTAGATGAACAACTTACATAAGAGTGTTAGAGATAAAGATTAGTAGGGATAAAGCCAGGTGCACCCCAGGACACTATTTGAAGAACTTTGTCTTCAGAGATTATAAGAAAAAATTTTCATCATTTCCTTTGAGATTATGTTCTGGTAATATGAGTGATTATGTTATTTTTTTGTAATCATCATTGATGGATTGTTCCCTTCTCTATCTTCTATTGGGTTAGAGTCTAGGGATAAAAAGATGAATAAGACAGCCAGGCAAGGTGGCACATGCCTATAATCCGAGCAGCTCAGGAGGCTGAGGCTCCTAGGAGGATCATGAATTCAAAGCCAATCTCAGCAAGGGCATTGTGCTAAGCAACTCAGTGAGACCCTGTCTCTAAATAAAATACAAAATAGGGCTGGGGATGCAGCTCAGTGGTTGAGTGCCCTTGAGTTCAATCCTGATACCCACCTAACCCTGCCCCCCCAAATATGAATAAGAAGACATGATTCTTGCTCTGAAGAAACCCACAGTCTAATAAGAGGCAAACATATAAATAGGGAGATGGGGATGTAACCAAGGTAAGAACTACAAGAGAAGAATGGACAAGATATGGTGGGAGCCTGAGGAAGGTGTCTGGGAAGAACCAGAGAGATTCAAAATAGATGAGGGGCCCTTGGGGAGGGTCTCTAAGGCCAGAGAGACCAGTTGGACATAGCTTGGGGACTGCTTTTTTGTTACTGCCACCAAATGACCTGACAAGGACAATTAGGGGAGGTTTATAGTTTCAGAGGTCTTAGGCCATAGCTGGTTGACTCCATCCTTTGGGACCTATGATGAGGCAGAACATCATGGCAGAAGAATGTGGTAGAAGAGAGCAGCTGGGGACATCAAACCAGAAAGCAAAGAAAAAGACTTCTCTCACCAAGGAAAAAATATAAACCCAAAAGATATGGCTTCATTGACCCACTTCTTCCAGCCACATCCTACCTACCAACAGTTACTACCCAGTTAACACCTGTGAGGGAATTAATCCTCCGATTAGGTTAAGGCTCTCCTAATCGAATCATTTCGTTCTGAACTTTATTGAATTGTCTCACACATTAGCTTTTCCGGGGACATCTAATATCTAAACTATAAAAGGGATAAAGCCAGACAAGCTCAGTAAGTCTGGCGAGGTGGGACAAGGATATCTAGGTAAAAGACTTTCTCTGATGATGGAATAATTAAATTGAAAACCGAAGACCTGCATGTGGGGTTGGTATTATAAATGGGTGTATCTTCCATGGTATGTTCTACAGGGATTATGGAAAGAGCCTCTTTCTTCCTTTCTTCTACCTATCAAAATACAAAAACAGAAACAATGCAAAACAAAACAAATTCCCTCAACAGCAGGGCTTGCACATTTGTCCTTTAGAGGACCAGAGGGTAAATAGTAGTCAGGCCTCCCTAGCCATGGGTTAGGTTTTTGTTACTTTCCTCCACTCTGCTATTGTCATGCAAAAGCAGCCAGAGCCAGCACACACCTGGACCTCCATATCTGTGGGTTTCGTATTCATGGAAGTCAACCAACTACAGATCAAGAATTTTTTTTTTAAATTGCATCTGTACTAAATATGTACAGATTTTTTTCTTTTCATTATTGCTGAAGTAATAAGTATGTGAACTAATAACATAACATTGATGTTGTATTTGATATTATAAGTCATCTAGAGATGATTTGGTTACAAGGGAGAATTGCATAGGTTATATGCAAACACAGTGCTATTTTATATAAGGGACTGGAGCATCTTAGAACCAATCCCCAGAACAAGTATTAATGAGTGTGGCTGCAAACCAATAAAACCTTGTAGACAAAAACAGGAAGTGGGCGTGATTGGCCCCAGCAAATGCTCACCCTTGTTCTACAGGATCAAATTTGAAACCATCATTTATCTCTTAGTTTGCCCAATCTTTTCTGAGTACACAATTAGAGTTTATGTGTAGAGGTAGGACCTGGAGGAAAGGCCAGCAGAGGAAGGTAGAGGCACATCCAGGAAGAAAAGTGAGTTGCAGAATGAAGGGGTCCCTTTCTCTCTGTGGAAGAACAGCACCCGTGTTAGAAGGACAGGTCACCAATCTTCCTCAGCATGTCTCCGGGCTGCCTGTCCTGCTGTCTAACTGTGGCTCCACACTGCCTGGCTGTACCTTGGCCAGCTGAACTGTGTTTTGCCCCTGAGGTGACTATGAACATGATAATTTATATTTTGGTGCAGAAGCACCTTTAGCTTCTTTGAGATGAAAGACTCTATATAAAACTGAATTATGACCCTGCTTAATGGGAACATAGCTGAGTTTTTCCAAAAGTGGAGTTAAACCCCTTCGGCATCTATGAAGTGCTGGCTGTAAAGGATCCTTGGCTATTTCAGCAGACCCAGTTTTTGCTGTTGATTCTGTGTGTAATAAATCATTCTCTTCCAAGTCCAAAGATGCTGGTTGCCTTTGCCAAAATACTAGGAGGAAGATCTCAGACTGGCCCAAGCTGAGTCTGGATTTTTACTATTATTATTATTTATTTATTTATTTATTTATTTATTTTTTTTGTAGGGGTGATACTGGGGACTGAACTCAGGGGCACTTAACCACTGAGCCACATCCCCAGCTCTATTTTGTATTTTATTTAGAGACAGGGTCTCCACTGAGTTGTTCAGTGCCTTGCTTTTGCTAAGGCTGGTTTTGAACTTGCAGTCCTCCTGCCTTGGCCTCCCAAGCCACTGGGATTACAGGCGTGCATCACCGCGCCTAGCTGGATCTTTGTTTTTTAGTTGTTTCTGAAGCAAAGAACACTCTCACATACTCACTCACACATGCACACACTCACATACACATGTTAATTCTCCATAATTATATGCTCAGAATAGCTACTCCCTTGCTCTGTAACTTCCTATGGATTCTCGTGACACAGGTTTGGTTTTTACACCAAAGGTTTGAGTTGGTTATACTCTTTTGTTATTTTTATACTAAAGCACTCCAAGTGTTAGGGAGCAAAGTTATCAACAGGTGTCACTTTCCCCACCACAAGCCCAGGACACCAAGGCCAGACAGCCTAGGTCACCCATGAGCTTCTCATCAGACACTATTCAACAGGCATACCAACATGTCTTTTTTTAGAAAAGACCATAAGTGTCTTATCTTACTCCTTTGGAATTTCCCATAGATATTTAACCTCTAGTTTGGGGAAAGCTGGTTGGAGGGTTCTTCAAATGGTCCTGAATGAATGCTCCCAACAGATTTGCAAGCTCCATTCACCGGAGGTGGATGGGTGCTTCTGCTTGCCAACCACCTCATCACCACCTCCTCTCCCTCCCAGCTAAAAAACTTGTGGTTAAAATAACACACAGCCTCTATTCAGAGCTCAAACTCAGAGCTGCTATCAGAGGAAGCAGATTTTGGATTTAGAAAACCTTCAGTAGAGGCATCCAAGTTGCTCTTGAAAAATTCTGTGTCTCAGACTTTCTTGAAGAAACCAAGGACCTCCTCAGGTAAATATTTCCTTCCCTTTCTTTATGGTTCTATTGCAAATCTGATTAAGAAACGAGGATCAGGAAGTATTAGAAGAAGCCAGCTACTTTTTAGCTTTTTCCTGGTAAACAGGGATTGTGCCTTTCTCTGAAAGAGGAATAAGGAGATTAAACACAGTGACATTCTCTGTGGAGAAGAGTTGGATGCTTGGGAGACAAGCCTGGGTGGAGCAAGCAGAGTGAGCTCAGTGGTGTCTGGATTAAGGAGAGGTGGGAAGTGATGATGGAGGAGGTTTTCTGTCCGGGGCAGCAGCACTGGGGCTGGTCAGGAGAGAGCTCACACAGGAGCGGTTCCCAGCACTGTATTGGCTTCAATACGTTCCTACTGAATAAATATAAACTGGGTATCTTTCCTTTGCTGCTTCTCTTCAAGCAACTGAGTGCTACTGTGTTTCTCTATATACTCCACTTGAAAATGTTTGTGAAATTGCTGCATTATCTTCTATTTTCATATATTTTTAACTCACACCTTTCTCTAGTGATAGATCATTAAAATGTGTCTGAAGTCTATTGTAAAATGTGTTAATGTTTTCTTTGAATACCAATAACCGTGGTCTTCTGAAAGAACAGCTCACTTGCAGAGTAAGGTTTTTGTTTTGTTTTGTTTTTTAGAAAACTTGCCACCTTTTCTCTTGAATTTTCTCTTGAATTGCCCACTTACTTTCTTTTGTAAACATTTGTGCCTATGAACTATTTCAATATACCTCATTGTGACTGAATCAGGCATTCATTCATTGGCCAACCTGTGACTCTCTCTCTCTCTCTCCGAGGAGATTATTGTTTTTCTTTCACAGCTTTCATTTGAACAAAACTTTATTCCTATTTGATGACAGAGCCAAATCAATTAATCACCAATTGTCAGTCAAACATTTATTCATGAGCATTCTATAGGCTCTCCACTGGAATAGGGGAAGACGGTTTCCAAGACACATTATCAACCTTGTTTTTTATAATGTGTTTTGAATACCACTTATATTCATTAAATGATTACCAAACATTGCTAGAGAGTACAAAATGAAGTGCAAACTTTCAAGCTTCAGATTATAGGTACGGCTGGAGTGATCATATGGCTACCATGGTTGAGAGCTCACTATGCATCAAGTACTATCCTTAGCACTTTGTATCATCTCATTTTTTTCCCTCAACAGCTCTCATTTTACACATAAGAAAATAGAAGCTTAGAGAGGGGCTAAGTACTCAGGGGTACCCTGATGACAAGCAGTAGACTGAGTGTTCTAATATTTAGTGTGAGGCCCACATTCAGGCTATGGCAGCATCAAAAACTGCATCAAAGAAGAAGGGGTCAACAGGCATCCAATGGCCAGAAGGAGCTTTTCTGTGGGCAAAGGGCAGGTGGAAGGGCCTGGGGTGTCTGGGAGACAGTGCAGCAGTACATGCACTGTTGGGAGGCAGAAAGGGAAGTTCTGGACAAAGACAGGCAGAGGAGTTGGGCATGGGAGACACCATTGTGAGGAAGTAGAGTGCTGATGAATCCTGCTCAGAGCTGCCCGAGTGCTCTCTGCTTATTTACCCTCTGCCTGCAGCTAGCTCACTCCAAGTCTCATACTCTCAGGGCTCTGCCCAGATCTCACCAGGCTTTCCTTGACCCTCCTATTCAAAGAACAACCAAAACCATTCTTATTAACTTCCTCTAAAAATATGCTAAAATACATATAACATACAATTTACCATTTTAACCATGCTTAGAGCAGATAATTCAGTGATATATCATACATTCGTAATGTTGTGCACCCATATTACTATCTATTTCTAGAACATTTTCATCACCACCAAAGGATACCTTCTATCCATTAAGCTGTCCCTCCTGTTGCCCTCCCCAGGCCCCACCCTGGAAACCACTAATCTGCTTTCTGACTCTATGGATTTTTCCACTTTGTATGGAAACATACATTATCATACATACTTTTGTGATGACCGATTTTATTTAGCATGTTTTCAACATTCATCCATGATGAGGTGTATGTCAGTGCTCCATCATGTTCTACAGCTGGATGATATTCTATTGTATGTATACATCACATTTTGTTTATCCATTCACTAATTGATGGTCACTTTAGTTGTTTCCACCTTCTAGCTATTGTGATCACGCTATGATACACTTTGGTGTGCAAGTTTCTCCATGAGCAGGTATTTTCAGTTCTTTTGGGCATATACGTAGGAGTGGAATTGCTGGATCATATGGTAATTCTATGTTTAACTTTTTGAGACACTGCCAAACCATTTTCCATAGCAGCTGCACCATTTTACATTCCTATCATCAATGTAGGAGGGTTCAATTTCTCCATACCTTGTTGCCGACACTTATTTTCTATTTTTTTTTTTAATATAGTCACCCTGGTAGGTGTGAAGTGCTATCTCACTGTGACTTTGAATGGCATGTCCCTAGTGACTGATGATGTTGAGCATCTTCTCATGTATTCGTTGACCATTACATTTTATTCCTGTTGTTAGAGATTATTTTTCATTATACATAAATTATATGACTTATCACTCTGTGCCGCATTATGTCTTTATTTAGAGAAATAAATTTTTATCTAACTTTTCCTAGGACTACATAAGCTCCATAAGAACAGGGACTTTGTTCTGTCCATTATTGTATATCAGTACCTAGGACACTGTTCAGCATTGTAGGTCAATTGCATACGTGTGTGTGTACACATGTACATAAGAAATATGCAGTTTAAGAGCAAATTATCATTATCTTTAAGACTTGAGCCTAGAACCTCTTCATTCTGCAGGACCAGTGGGGGCATCATTTTGAAGGGAGAGTCATGGATGTCCCATATAAATGCTGGTCCCTATATAAACTGGTCCATACCACATTCCCCACTTCCTGATGACAAATTTGTCATAGTGTCCTTCTACCCTCCACCACCCCTTGGATTAGTGGGAAAGAGGCTAAAGCAGCCGAGTAACTGTTTGGATAATCAATTCGAGGCAATGAGAACCAGAACCAGACAAAACAACAAGGAGACAGTGGGGGAAGAAGGGATAAGAGGGAGATTTTGAAGAAAAAGTCATCAAGATTGGGAGAATGGCTAGAATGTTAAACAAAGATAATTTCAAGTTTTGAATCTGGAAGGTTGGAACAATGATGGTACCATTATTTAGACAGGAAGTAAGAAACAGGGAAAAGAGAAGTGTTGTTTTATATTTGAGAATACAAGATATGTGAATGGTTGATAAGCACATGTGTTCTGGAGAATTTGCAATGATGCTCTTGGTATATACTGCCTTTGAAGTCTATGTGGCTTCTTGGTCCCATCAAGCGAAATTCTGTTCTTCTAGCCACGATTCTCTCTTCCATTTTGAGGACTGGTGGTAGAGATTGGTGTCAGTGAACACAGATGGGACCTCCATCCAGACAGATGAGCCTGGAGGCCTGGGAGGGAGGCACTTGAGGAGGCGGGAAGATGGTCAGCACCAGTGTAGGTAGTAGACAGAAACTTGGTAGCTCGGTTACAATTCTAGCTCCTGTCATGTCAAAGGGGAAGCTTGAGCAAAGGAGTCTGAGCTCTGCCTCATCAAGATTCAGAACAGAAAGCAAGTCCCAAAGCATGGAATATGCTCATGGGAACTGGCCATGTGACCAGCCCCTTATACTTCATTGGGAATTTTCTTTTCCCTGGAGGTGTAGGCAGAAATATGAGTTCATGAAAAAAGGCATTTGTTATTTAGGCGGGAGAAGTTTGACTTCAGGATGAGAAGTTAGTGGCTAAAATTTCCCTCCCACAGACTTATTGACAGTTCCAGTAAAAAAGATGACTGCTGCCATCATTTCACTGGCTGTGGACACCAGTAGATACTCCTGTGTGAGAAACAGAATGGTGGGATGGTGGGACATCTTCTCCTCCTAAGCTTCTACTTTAAGTCTCATTATGGTTTGGATATGTGCTATCTGCCAAAAGCTCATATGTAAGACAATTTAAGAATTTTCAGAGGTGAAATTATTGAGTTATGAGACCCCCTCACTATAGGCAGATGGGGTGTGATGTTGGAGAGAGGGAGTGTCTTTGGGGGAGTGCCTTTGGAGGTTTCATTTTGCCCCTGGTGAATAGAGTCCTCTCTCTCTCTCTCTGCTTCCTGGGTGACCTGTCCTGAGTTGCCTTTCTCTTTCCACATCCATCCACCATGATGTTCTGCCTCACCTCAAGCCCAGAGCTGTGGAGTCAGTGGTCTATGGACTGAGACCTCTGAAACTGCGAGCTAAATCAACCTTTCCTCCTCTAATTGTTCTTGTCAGGTCTTTTGGTCTCAGCAAAGAAAAAGCTGACTAAAACAAGTTTGTAATGCTGTTCCATGCCCAAAGTCTTCCTCTCGAATAAAAACTTCATCTGCCCATTGCAAAGCAGTGTGCTCCAATCAGAAGGATGCGTGTATACTTATACTTCATCAGTTCTGAGCTGGAATAAAAGAAATCTGAGAGCCAAGCAGACCTTACTGTCACTCCATGACAGTCATCTTTGATGTGCTGCCACTCTTGTCACAAAACAGAGCTCTTGTCACGTTTTTGGAACATGACCTACTGCACAAGGTGTCTCAGGCAGAAGAAAGGTATTTCAGGGTAGGGATACATATTTTATAAAGTGGTATGGCAAAAATAAATAAGTAGAAAGTTTTCAGGAGATTATGACTTAGGTAATTCAAAAGCAAATAAGTCTGTCTCTATTCTGAAATAATGTTGCCTCAGGACTGAATTCCTTGGGTGTGTTTTCTCTTCCTCCTCTTCCTTCTCCATTTTTTGTAACGTTCAGGATGGAATTCAAAGCTTTGTGCATGCTAGGTAAGCACTCTTATCACTAAGCTATACCACCCCTGGGACCCCGCCTCTTTTTTTGAGATATAACAATTTTATGTCTAGGAAGACAAAGAAATTCTGAAAAACACCATGCAAAAATTCAAAGTATAATGCAAAATATTTTAATTAAATCTAAAGAGCTTAAAAATTATAAAATATTCCAGAAATTATATAGTCTAATGCCACCAATTAATTACATGTATATAATAAATGCATATAATAAAATTATTACTTTTTAATCATTTAAAAATTATGACTAATATGTGCAAATATTACATTTTATTTATTTTATTTTTTTTTTGTAGTGCTGGGGATGAAACTCAGGGTCTTGTGCATGCTAGGTAAGTACTCTGACATTGAGCTACACCACTAGCTCAAAATTTTACATATTAATGGGTAGGTCATGAATTAATTTCTCTGCTTATTCATATAACAAACATTTGGGTAAGCTCACTGAAAAACCATTGGCAGTTCCACTGGGAAGAACATACAAGACTCTGTTCCTAGTGTTTGTTGAGTCTTAAAATTAATCAGAACTGCTGTGAGAACAGTAAGAGAAGTGCATAAAAAAGTAGCTGTGAGGGTCGCACTTGAGTTGTTCCTTACCTTAGCATGCCCAGCCAGGAAGACAAGAACTGAGAACTCGAATGGGGAAATATTTTGCAAGGTTTTGAACTCAAAGAACTACAGTGTTCATTCGGATTAACCTTTTGTGGTACTGCAGGCTTCCCAGGGACCAAGTTCTACAGGGTGTGTATGTGTCTTTTCCTGTTGTGCCCTTCCTTGTAGTAAAACAGCTCTTTAAAATGACAGATGATGTCTGAAGCATCTTTTGTAACAATGGTCCTATTGTTCTGGAATTCTAATGAAACTGAAATAGGGGTTGGGGTCTTAGTACCAGAGGACATTTTGTCCTGAAGGGAGTGATGTGTTTCTTCTTAGATGTTGCCTCAAGGAAATAAATGCTTAAAAGAGTTAAACCCGGTTAGGTTAATGCTGGGTCTGAGCCAGTTCAGGATACAGGATGTCAAACCACCAGTTTGGATCTTAACACATAAATTGTAAAATCAGCCTTTGAGATTTTACACTTATCAAATGCAATAATGTCAACTAATGCCAATGCTAATCTACCAGAGACAGATGATAAAAATAAAACAACCACCCCACTGGCATTGAGCTATGAAAAATATTATTTGATTTTTTAAAAATAATAACCGAACCTTCCTATGTCTTAATTTTCTTAAACATTGTGTTGTTTCAGCACATAGAAACTGAAGAGGAGGATGTGGACCAGACAACAGGGAGAGAGGAGCCCTTTGGGGTTAATTGTCACTGTAGCAAGGCTGGCAACCACGATCAAGCTCTGCCTTGGTTGTCATCATCCTTTTCAATATCAGTCACAACAGGGATGTCAAAAAGTCATTTCCGCTCTCTCCATGAGTACCTCCCTCCCCCCACACACACACAAAAAAAAAAGGCCGATTGCACTGAGCAATTCAGAGCAACATAGAATCTGTTTTGAGGGTGTATTTAGCAACAGAACTGACCTGAGTGGTCTTGTAATTTGCCTCTTTCTAGCATAAAACTCTGTAAGCCTCCGTTTCCTGATCTGTATAAATAAAAATAATAAAAGGCCCTAGCGCCCTGGGAATGTTACAACAATTTTGTGAACTACTACGTGCAAAGCTCTAAGCTCATCCAATCAATGTTAACTTTTATAATCTCAGGTAACCTGCCCAATAGCAGAACTGAGCCATGAATCTGCAGCCAACAACCAACCTGCCTCTCTTCTCTCTCCTGTGGATCTAGGCACAAAGCACAGTTCTGGTGAAATTCATCCTCTGTTCAGAAATCTGTGGCCAAATCAAATCTAATTCCTTTAGTGAAGCATGTGAAGCCCCTCAAAGAGGTGCTTTCCTCTCCCATCCCTCTCAGCCCCTGTGAGTTCTACACTTAGGAATCCAGGAGTCCTTTCCCTTTTCTTCTGAGCCATGCAACACCAGGCCTCTGTCAATTTGCCTCTGAATATCCTCATTCCCAACGCCCTTTCCTCCCATCTCTGCCTATAAGCTAGTTTCAATTAGAGATGGAGTTAGTTTCTTTTGGTGTATTCCTAGGATACTTTCTTCACAGCTTTACCATACCACTTATTGCTTTCACATGGAATCAAGACTTCTATGTTATATGGCAAATTCCTTAAAAATTGAAAGTAGATCTTGTTCATCGTTGGGCTTCCCAGTATTTTTGCAAGCTATGTTGTGAATAGCCAAATAACAGAAAGGTTTTGTTGAACTGGATGGAAAAGTTGATTCTAAATATTTTTTGTCAACAGAGGATGGGCTTGTTAGGGAAAAGGAACTAGAAGGGTGTGTGTGTGTGTGTGTGTGTGTGTGTGTGTGTGTGTGTATGTGCATGCAAAAATCATCATCTCTAAAATACACATATCACATTTGAAGTTCCTTCTAAATCTAAGCATATGAATCTGAGTTATGGTCTGTTATAATTTGGGGAATGTCTTCCAAAGGTACATGTGTAGAAGGTTTGTTTCCCAGTACAGCAATGTTCAGAGGTGGGGCTTTTGAGAAATGATTGGATCATGAGGGCTCTGATTTCATCAGTGAATTAATCCATTGGTAGATTAATAATTTTGTAGCATTATTAGGAGGTGGTAGAGACTGTAGGTGCTGGGGCCTAGTTGGAAGGTCACTGGGGGTATGCCCTGGAAGGGATGCCTTGTCTTTGGCTCCTCTCCCTCTCTCTCTCTCTCTCTCCTTCTGGCTACCATGAGATGAGCAACTTTCCTCCACCAAGCCCTTCCACCATGACATCTACTTCACCATAAGCCCAGAAAAAATGAAGCCAGCCCACCATAGACCAATACCTCCAAAGATGTGAGCCAAAATAAATCATTCCTACTCTAAGTAGGAATGATCATGTATTTTGTTCCAAGCCAAGAAAGATGACACACTGACTTTTATCCTCTTACAATATACTTTTAAATATGATAGCAAAAGATTAATTAGGATTGCTGGACCATAGGGTAGTTCTATTTTTAATTGAATTGCCATTTCTGTTCTTCAGAAATCCCACTTTGGGGTCTATCTCTCAAGGAACTGAAATCAAGATCTCAAAGAAATATCTGCTCTCTGGTGTTTATTGCAGCATTATGAACAATATCTAAAATAGAGAAACAGCCTATATGTGCATGAGTGTATAATCCTCCCATTCACTGAAGCAAAAGTAAGATTTTTTAAAAAAAGGTTAATACAGGATTTTGTGCTTAAGGAATAAAGTTACAATTTTCATGAAGAATCATGAACCCATCTCTATGTTAGCATAAATTCAGATTTTGTTCATGTATCCTATATCATTATTTTATAGCCTATCACTATCTAGAATCATATATGTTCATGTTTGTTTACCTCTTCCCATAAAATGAAATGTCTATGAGGACAGGAATTTCTGGTTTTTCTTACTCATTGCTGTTTTCCTAGCACAATGCCTGACACGTGGTAAGTACACAAGCAATACTTGTTACAGAAATTTCTACCTTTTATCAAGAATTTGGTACTAAATAAGGTCTATTTGAAACGGAAAGTTTAACCAGTAAAGAAACCCATTCTAAAGAAAATAGCCTGAAGCATCACAATTTTATTGGATTTGGGGAAAGAAAGTAGGACTAATGGGAGTTTTTACCCCTGATTTCTTAAGAAATATATGGAAGAGACAGAAAATGTGAAGTTGGGAATGAATTCCTTGAAGGTTTTCTAGTAATAATTAACTGAGGTCTTTCTTTTGTCATGATATTTTATATTTCAAATGTGGGGATCATAGGAGTTGGGAATATTGGGTAGGTTTTATTTCTCCACATTTTAAGAATCCTTTCTTAACACAGACAAAAGTAGAAATAGATTGAAAGTTTAGAGGAAGACTATGGAGGAGATTGTAGAAAGAGACTACAAATCTTAAAAGACGCTGCTGCTGGCTTGGTGGAAAGTAAGTCAGGAATTCAAGGGCCCTCAGGAAATGCAAATGAAGGAAACAGTGAAAACATGAAGACAATTACATTGCCAAGGCAAGAACCACAGATACAGATCAGCTTGCCAACGTGTGCGCTCCAAGGATTTAAGGGAAACAGGAAGTTATTTGAGCCGATGTGTAAGTGGAGCAAATAAGGGAGAAGTGGGTGGAATTTTAAGGTTGAAGTTTTCATGACAATAAGTTATTGGATAGTAAGAACTTTGGAATGGCACTTAAAGAGAATATGAGTCATCTCAGAGACTAAAGAGATTTTTTTTAAAAAAAGATGCCAATGTGTTAGGAATAAACTAGAATTCATTCATTCTTTCTCTCAGCATTTTTTTTGCATCTTTTTAAAATTTGTTCTAATTAGTTATACATGACTGTAGAATGCATTTTGACACGTCATACATAAATGGACTACAACTTCTCATTCTTCTGGTTTTACATGATGTAGAGTTACATAGGTCATGAAATCATATAGGCAGATAGGAAATAATGTCATTCTGCTACCATTCCTACCCCCGCACCTCCTCCCCTCTGCCTAATCCAAAGTACCTCTATTTTTCCCTAACACCCTGCCAACACACACCTTTATTATGAATTAGCTTCCATATATCAGAGAAATATTCAGCCTTTGGTTCTTTGGGATTGGCTTATTTCTCTTAGCATGATATTCTCCAGTTTCATTTATTTACCTGAAAATGCCATAATTTCATTATTCTTTAAAGCTGAGTAATATTTCATTGTTTATATATACTCCACAATTTCTTTATCCATTTATATGTTGAAGGGCATCTAGGTTGGTTCCATAGTTCAGCTATTGTAAATTGAACTGCTATAAACATTGATGTGGCTGCATCACTACAGTTTGCTGATTTTAAGTCCTGCGGGTATAAAGCTAGGAGTGGGATAGATGGGTCAAATGGTAGTTCCATTCCAAGTTTTCTCACTTGGCATTTATTGAGTATAATCTGAGCATGGTAGATACAAAGGTGAATGAACCCAGCCAAATGCAATCTCTGCTTGCTTGGGGTTTATAGATGAACAAATGAGATAATCTCACTAATGAAGGTATAAATTCAAGTAGGAATTGGAGGGAAAGGAATTCAGACAGAAGCATGATGAATGAAGGGATCAGGTCTAGATACAGGGAAGAGAGTTGAGACGTCTGAAAGCTTTTCTAGGAGCTGAGATCTGAAGATGCCCAGGAGCCAGCTAGGGGAGAGAATGGAGGTGAGGTGGAGTAATCCTAGACAGAAGTTCTTTGGAGTAAGGAATCATGATACCTTCCAGGAAAAGAAGCAAGACAAGTAGAGCCGAAAAATAGAGTCAGGAGAAACCACATAAAATGAGGCAGGAGCAGACTCAAGGGTGATAGTAGTCATGTGAGATTTTATCCCCAAAGTAATAGACATCATAGGGTGTTACAACTTCTTCTTTTGGGAATAATGAGATGGAACCTGTAACAGGAGTCTCCAGATTACCAAAATTCATCCATCTATATGCCAAAACTATGCCAATTTTTACCACCTTTGATTGATAAAGGTCTGGATTATACTTGTTCATTTTCTCTCCACTCCTTCCTGAAACATGCTTCCCTGAGTGCTTAATATTTTTTGGTGGTCCATGGCATCTAACACCACACTTTTGAGATATAAACTTTCCTTGTCCTGATGTTCAGGAATCTCAGACGCTTTCTTCTTTTTGTGTCCTGGTTTGTTTTCAAACTTTTTCATTTTATGTGGCTGCCATTCATCGTACCTGCCTCTCTTTTGAACTGGATGCTTAAAATCTATTGTGGGGTAAAACTTGAGAGAACCCAACTAATAGGCTTCTATAGAGCTTTAATACCTAAGGAGCTTTGGGGCTCCTACAGTGTCATTTGGGTTTCCCTTTGGTGTCCAGATGGTAGGGCAACTTGGTTGGGTTCTAGTTGGTATCTCAGTGCTTGATGTCCAATATAATAGCTATGAGTCACATGTGGCTATTTAAATAATTAAAATTAAAATCAACTAATTAAAATTAAATGATATTAAAAATTCAGCCCTTAGTTGCAGCTAGCAGCATTTCACATGCTTGATGGCCATATGTGGCTAGAGGACACCATATTAGCATAGGTATGCACATTTCTACTATTGTAGAAAGTCCTATTGGACAATACTACTATAGCATATTGTAGAGAGCATGAAACGAACAATTTACCTTTCTGTCATTAATACTGTTAAGCATCTCTAGGCATGCACCAAATACAGAACTGGATGTAGCCTCTCTTGTTCCATAAGCTTACAAAAACACATTCTATAAATTGTTATTTCTTTCAGAATTGTTATAATTACTGTAATACTATTGAAGAAATGCTCAGAGATCTGCTATTTCCAGAAGAGAAATGGACTCAAAGCTAATTAAAATTCTGCATTTGCTCACTGGAAAATCTGA